GGGCTGCGTGGGGTTTTCCCCCTCCCCGTGGGGTGTGCGGGGTCCCTTCCCCGTAAGGTGTATGGGACCTGCTCCTCGTGAGGTATCCCTGCCCCCCCCATCCCGGCCCCACACCCCCAGCAGGGGATCTCCGACCCCCCGCCGTGTTTTGGGTCTCTTCTCCCGTCACCCCTCGGCCTGGGCTAAAGGCTTGGCCTGGCAGCGTCAGGCTGGAGCTAACGCAGCTCTGTGCCCCCGAGAAGCTGCTTTCGAGCTGGAGATCCTGCAGAAAGGGAAGTGAAACCTCTCGTGCAATTCTGCCTGGTCCCCGCTGCGACCTGACGCCTGGTTTTGCAGGGGGGCAGCTGGTTTGGGGTGAAACGAGAGACGTCGTGATGAACCTGCCGCCTCTCGCAGCGAGTGTGGGTGCAAGCAGGTTCTTGCTTGCGCCGCTTTGGTGCTGTTAACAAGGAGAGTCAAGCAGGCGAGCTCTGTGACATGTTATGGGGGAGTTAAAATAGGTCGGTGGTGTCGTCTGGGGCGTGAGAGGCAGCTCAGGCGTTGGTCGCTGTTTCCTCTTTCCCCAGAGGCTGGCCCAGCCAGCGTGGAGCGGCAGGCTGCGGATCACGGCCAAGGGCAAGACCGCGTTCATTAAGCTGGAGGACAAGACCTCAGGTAAGGAGAAGGGAAGGTGACGGCTCCGCGCCTCTTGGTGGGGATGAAGACGGCGCAGAGATGCTATGCCCTGGCATTAACCCACTCCCCTTTCTCTTTTTCAGGAGAACTTTTTGCCCAGGCGCCGGTGGAGCAGTTCCCTGGCATCGCTGTGGAGGGCGTGACGGACTCCAGCAGATACTTCGTCATCCGCATCGAAGACGGGAACGGTGTGTCACGATACACGGGGGCCAGGTTGGGGGAATCGCCTCAGAAAGCCTTCGGTGCCCCGTGCTGCTCTTACTCGTGAAGGATTCTTGCTTCCAAGGGCGAAATACTCCCTGCATACGGTGGCACAGGGATGAATTATCTCGCTCCCATGCGCCAGGCGCACTGTGTCCTTCACCGGGAATGAAAACAGTTTCATTTTGCTGCTGGGCGTTAGCGTGAGGACGCCTCTGTGTGCAGGATCATCGCCGTGATGCCAGCCTCCGCTTTGACTTGCTTATATCAATTTTAAACCCGGGTTTACTAAGCCTGTACATGCAACCAACAAGCTAAAGACATCTCCAGTCCCATATCTCGCTCTCTAGAGTCCCCGCTCCAGTTGGAAGAGGTGGTACGGGGTATCCCATCCCTTTGCGACTCCAGCCCTTACTCTTCCTCCTTCCCCAGGGCGCCGAGCTTTCATTGGAGTCGGTTTTGTCGACCGAGGGGATGCTTTTGACTTCAATGTGGCTCTCCAAGACCATTTTAAGTGAGTTCGTGCTTCTCCCTGCTCTCAGCTCGATGGTTTTTTTGCGGTTGTCTGCCAGAAGTGGACGAGGGGAGAGGAAGCTGGGAGCTCCTGTTGTGTTTGAGCGGGCAAGCATGGTGCGAAGAGGTGGAAACAGCTCTCCCTCTCTCAAATATTCCCCAATCTGTATTAGCAGGGTCCCAAACTGAGCTTCCTAGCCCAAAATTGGACAAATTCCCTAATTCCTTTCCTTCTCTTCGCTTGCCACTGGTAAAGGGCTGTTCCTGAGGGGTTGGGATGCTGCTCTAGCTGCTGGCAGATGGCAGGGCTTTGGGGCAGGACGGGCTGTGCTCCTGGCTGGAGGATCCTGCAGCTCCGGCCCTGACAGCCGCTGGTAGGAATCGTTCCCTCTGCACTGCCTGTAGCACGTTGCTCCGGCAGACAAGGTCTCAGATCACATCCAGCGCCTTTAGAGAGCTGCTGCCAGGCTGAGGGGACGATCTTGGGCAGGATTTGTCCGAGAGTGCCTCAGGCTGGTGGTAGACATGTCTTTTTTTTTTTTTCTTTCTCTCGTTTTTTTTCTTTCGTTTTTTTTCTTTCTCTCCTGCAGATGGGTGAGGCAGCAGAGCGAGCTGGCCAGACAGGCTGAGAACCCCACTCAGGGACCCAAACTGGATCTGGGCTTCAAGGAGGGGCAAACCATCAAGCTCAACATTGCGGTGAGGGGCTTTTCCGGCTAAATCCTCTCCCGATGTTTCCCACAACAGCAGTTTTTTTTCCCCAGAATAAATCCATTTGGCTTCGTGCAAGCCGCGGCTGGGAGGAATCACGCTCTGGCTCTGGATTTAAACGTGATACCACCCATTTTTTCCTCTCTTCTTTCAGAATATGAAGAAAAAAGAAGGAACAACGGGGAACACCAGACCACGTCCCACGAGTCTTGGGGGCCTGAGTTTGCTCCCACCACCTCCCAGTGGAAAAAATTCTGCTCCGGTTTGTCCTGGAGAGCGACCGTCTTCGCTCTCAGTGCCCACCCAGCTCCCAGGCACCCCCATCACAGGTCCGTGGTCACGCAGCGATGACTGTAAAGCTCTTCAGACTCCGTTTTATCCATCAAATTTGGGAAAACAGAGGGGGAATTTGGGAGTAAGAGTGGGAAATAACTCCTGATGTTTATTTTCTCTCTTTCCGACTTTCCTGGCCGCCGACAGACTCCCTCTTGTCCTGGCCGCAGCCCGCTGCTGCTCCCTCTGCCGCTGCCACCGACGTCTGGGGAGACTTTGCCAAAGCTTCGGGGTGAGGCCGGGTGGGGTTTGCGGGTGACGTGAGCGATCCAAATCCTACTTATTTTGCTGAAAATCCCTGCTGGGGTGGGGGCACGGCTCCATCCAAACACCCGGTTGGGATTTAAAAGCGGTTCTGAGAGCGTGTGTCACAAATTTCTGCGAGTGCTGCCTTCCTCTTCCTCCTCATCTTCCCCTGCTGCTCCGGGCAGAGGGGGGAAGAGTTTTGGGGTGACCCTGGAGGATCCATTTGCAGCTGCCCGGCTCCCTCCCCGCGCGCCGCAGTCCCTTTCAGTGTCTAAAACCTCTTTTTTTTTTCTCCTCTTTTTCTCTCTTGTCTCTCCAGATCAGCTTCTACCCAGACTCAGGCGAATGCTGGCTGGGTTCAGTTCTGATCCTGGCCCCTCGTCCGCTCCTCGGGATTCCTTTGGGACCAAAGCAGGGAGATTTGGGAACACCCTGTTCCTGCCCTCAATTGAAATTGATTATCGAAATAAATTTCGATAATAAATGAAACTTATTATCGAAATGTTGAAATAAGTGCCAGAAAGCAAATGAACACGTGCCTTAAAACACTCCACGCCAGCGCCCTCCGTGTCGAGGAGGGACTTTTATTTTCTACCTGGATCGCAGGAAACTGCTCAGGCTTCTTTCTGCAAAAAAAACAAAAACAAAACCAAAAAAAGCTGTCGGCTTCATCGCCTCTCCTTAATAACGAGAGGGTGAGCGATTGCTCGGAGCAGGAGGCCTCTCGCTCGCCCAATTAAGATAGTTTTCGCTAAAGGTTTATGTGATAGAGCTTCCTCAGAGACTTTTCCTTTTTTTCCTCGTGTATTTGGGCTGGATAAATCCTTCCCTCGGTGCAGAGCGTCCTCCTGGAGACATCTCGCCTGCGAAATCCAGACGAACGCCCTGCCAAGATGCCGAGCGTCCCCCTGATTTTTATTCCGAGTGGGAGGTGGGAAGCCGGACCGCTGCGTTTTGATGCTGAAATTCCTAATTTCTTGCTCCAAGAAGATTATTCTTCTCCCCCCCCCTTCTATTTTGAAGACAGATTATTATTTTTCTTCTTTTACTTCTTTCTGCAGACGTTTTATTAAGCAATATATGCAATGAAGGACAGAATGGAGTCGGTCTCTTTGACAGAGCTGGGGTTGAGATTCCTCTTTAAACAAATAAATATTTTCTTACCTATTTATATTAAGGCTTTTCAGTGTACAAAGTCCTGCTTATTTTTTTTTTCCTTTTGGTGCCTCAGATTTTTACTATTTCCAACTGGATGACGCGTATTTAGATTTCAGAGCTTAATTTTGCCTCGCGCAAACCCAGGTGAGAGATGTAAAGCTTCAAAGTGAATAATAAAATGTTTTTGATGCCAAATACGATTTTTTTTAATTTTTTTTTTTTTTTTTTACCTTCCCCGTGGGAGCTCGGAGGGGTTGGGATGAGTTTTTTGTGGTTTTCCCCCTCCTTGCCGGTGTCGAGGAGACTGTCGGATGGCGAAGCACAACAGACGCTTGTTGCTTAGCAGTGGTTTTATGGTTGGGAAGGACTCCGGGAGGGGAAGGTAAGGAAAGAAACAGAGAGGGGGGGGTGGAAAAAGAGATTTCTTGCATCCCCAGGGGATTTATTAGTGATTTTTCCCTGCTGGGGTGAGAGCAGAAAAGCCGTGATTACCCCGGGGAGGTAAAATTTGCTGCCCTGGGGTGGTTGCGGAGGCTCCGGCACAGGGGGAGACGCATCCCGGGGGGGTTTAATGCCGGTTTAATGCCCCGTAGCAACCCTGGCACGCTCCACCCCAAAGCTTTTCCTGCCAGAGCAAACCCCTGGGCTTTAATGAGCTTAACGAGGACCAGGATTTAATGAAAGGGCTGGCTTACTCTCTCCAAGGAGCTCCTTTCCCCGGTGGCAACCAGCACCAATCCTGCCTGGCGAGGGGGGGGGACAGCGCAGCAAAGTAAGCACATTTCCACCGATTTTGGGTACGGGGAAGCGCCGGGCACTGCTATTTTTTTCTGTTTTCCTTTCTTTTACTCATTATCCCTTTTCGCTAAGAGCCTCGTTAGTTATTTTTAATTACAAAGCCCTGCTCGGCAGGGAGCGGGGGTGGAATATTCGGTGATATTTTTGGTGGCGGATGCTAAAACGTCGCAAACTGGCGGCTTCACCGGAGGCCTGGGGACCCCCGAGGCGGCCAGGAAGAGGAGGGTCCCCGGTCCCTTTTTTTCGCGCCCCCGCCGTCACGCAGGGAGGGGAAGGCGAGGATTTCGGGTTAATCCCGACCACGCATCCGCTCTCCGCTCGTAGGCAGAACGTAGAACCGAACCGAAACCCCAAAAATCCCGGGAAAGGAGATTTGGAACGAGGAGGCCGCAGCAAAGCCGGGGG